CGCGGGCGGGCCCGGGCACCGCGGGGCGCCGGGGAGCCGGGCGCGCGCTTCCGGGAGGTGCCACGCGGGCGGGCGCCGCGGGAGCGCGCTGCTCAGGTGGCGCGGCGTCGCTCCCGCGCGCCTCCCGCCCCTCGTCGTCAAGGTGTCCTCCCGTGGGGCTCGGAGAGGACGCCTGAGGGAGCCGGCGGCGCGGCGGCCCCCGCGAGCCCCCTGCCTGGAGCTGCCGCCCGGGAGGCCCCCACGCTGCGGAGGACCGGCTGCACGCGGGAACCACGGGGAAGGGGCTCCTCTCGGTTTTCCAGAGTGAAAGTTCGCCTCGCTCTCAGGTTGCCTCACACAGAACAGACAGGGGTTGAAAGCAGCACAGATCGTCCGGTCCTGTTGCTCTAATCCTGTCATTTTCTACGGCCACTGCTAACGGCGAAGCGTTGATCCTGGTGCACCAGTTTAAAAAAAATTAAAGGAGCATTTTCCACCTATTAGTATTCTCTGGGAGAAAGTACGTGTTTAAAATACCCCCGGGTTTCTGAAGATGAACGGGGTAAAGTAAAAAGAAGTACTCTGAGCTTGGCTTGAGAAATGAATGGTTCACTGAAAAATGAGTTATTTCAAACATCTTTGAAAAGTAGACAGTTTTAACTGTCTCACAGATATTGAGAAGCGAGAGTAAAAGAAGTGTCCTTAGAATTAAACCTTTTTAAAATACTCAAAAAGCTGCTTTTTAAAGGGAATTCAGTTGCCTCAAAATGGATGTACATATTCTAAAGATAAGGCAGACATTTCTCTGATTTTCTGAATTGCTGATTTGTGAACTTTTAGGGTTAGAGGTAACATCTGTGGCCTGTTGCTGAAATCCCTGAAAAAAATATAATAAAACACCTCAGATCTCAGTAAGTCTGAACTAAGGGAGTGAGAGGCCCCTGCAGGATCAAGAGAACATTCACTTGGCCTTTCACCATCTCTGTTTTGAATGTGGGAGGCATGATTAAGCCACCAAAATCCTCTGGTAAGATTGCGCTTCCTTGGATTTAGACAGAGTTGAAGTTAATACATCTAGTTTATAGGTACTTAACAGTTTGTTGGATAAATACCTTCCAATAAGAGGCAGATGGCAAGAATGAAAATCCCTCACGGTATGGTCAGAGTCTAAAGGATCTAGGACATGGTTTGTGTCTTGTGCATTTTTTATGGAACCAAAAGTAGATACAAAACAACTAACTACTTAAAAACAAATTATACACTTTTTAAAATCTTTCTCTAGCATTTTTGCCACCTCCTGCTTTTATTTGGAAGTTTACTGCAGAAAGAACCAGAATGAAGGCAGAAGAGGAAACTTGAGCTAGCCCAGCCCTGGCTGACGTGCAGCCCCTGTGGATTGCCTCGCAGATGTGCAGCTTACTGAGGGTGCTTTGGGCCCTGCTGCCCATCACTTCATAGACTGCTCAACAGAATATACATTGTAAATACTCTATGTACAGATACTGTGCAGATTATCAGACACTGACGTAAGCTGCTTTAACTCTTCCAGCCGGAAAGCCTTTGCTACCATTTGAAGTGAGGGAAATTCTGTATAAAGGATGCTTTGATGTGAGAAACAGTTTTATCAGTTATGTTTGATGTTATTAATGGAAGTTTGTCTAGTCAGAAGTCTTCATATGAGATATCAACAGCCAAGTTTATAGTACTGTTTGAGTTGCATGGTACACACAAGGGAGGAAGTAGGAGGAGGGGAAATGGGAGAATGAAAAAGAGAAAATAGGGGAACTTAGCTCACCTTCTGTAAGTTCAAAGTCCAGCTTTTTATTGCCATCTAATTTATATCTGATATCAATGTCTTGGAATTAAGTCCAAAGATTATTTCTATCTTTTCTTAAGCATACATTGAAACCGTAGCAGTAAACAGAAGAGAGAGATTGAGTGTGTTGGCTCAGGCCTCTAATTTCAGCTAAGAATGATCTCAAAGTCAAGACCTACTGGACAACTTAATGAAAGCCTATCTCAAAAATCTGTCTCAAAAACGGTATGTTGGTGTTGGAGGGGCTGGTGAGTTGACTCGGGAGTTAAAAACACCTGTTGCCCTTGTTGAGCGCACCAGGTTGTGCTCCCAGCATGACCATCTGTAACTCCAGCTCCGGGGATCTGACCCTCTTCTGACCTGTGTGGACACTGGGCAGGCATGTGATACACACATGCACCTCAGTCACTCACACAAAATAATAATTTTTTTGTTTTTTTAACAGTTGGGAATATATGTAGCTCGGTGGTAAAGAATGCTCGCCTAGCATGTGTGAGATCCTGGCTTCAGTCCCCAGTACAGAAAGAGAGGAGGGAAGCTGAATTCAGAGCTCAGAACAGGAAGCTTTCTTCGTAACTCAGAAGAACTCAAGCAGAAAGAATGTAGTTTCATACTGAGATCAAGATTATCATCTATGAACTCTTACCTGCATACAAAGAAAACCTGAGAGCAGAGATGGGATGGAATTTTCTTTTATCAGGAGACAATCCACCCAATTGTAACTTGTTGGCATTTTTTTACATATATAGGTTAAATGATAACTTATGGGAAAGTACAGCCTGTGTGACCGGCAGTGTACCAATGCGTACCTCTGGAGCTTGAATTTTAACTCTTCTTTAGCACAGCTTATGAAAGCATGGGCTGAAAATTCAAGTCTCTAACTTGCCTCCTCTTGTATGAAAGTCAAACGTTTTTCTAGTTACTTCTCACGGTTTTTCAAAACTTTCATACATGAGTCGTGTATTCGCATCATTCCCACTCCCCTCTTCCTCCCACTCACTCCCTCTAAGTCTGAGACCTTTTCTTCCGTAACTACAGCCACGCCTGGAGTTATGCCCCATGTACTGTTGCTCACATGCACATATGTGTGGCTGACCCAGAGAAGGAGGGTGAGTTTTCTCCAGGCCCGAAACCCCCGGAAGGTCACACAGGCATTACTTCTATTAATAAAGAGGGCTTCAAAAGTTAGTAGTCCTGATTACTGACTCTGGTTGGTTGGTTAGTTGGTTGGTTGGTTGGTTGGTTGGGTTTTTTAAGACTTGTGCTATGAAACCTAAGCTGCCTAGAAGCTCACTATATAGCCCAAGCTGGTCCCAAGTTTGTGTCAATCCTACCTCAGCCTCCTGAGTGTGGATTAAAGTACATGCTCCCACACCTCCCTTCTGTTCTGCTCTTAAGTAGGAACTGTGTGAGCAGGCAGCTGCTATGTGCTGTCCCTCCTGCACTAGTCTGCAGTGAGATGTCCTACGACACAGCACTCCAACACTACAGCTTTTATTCAGGGCTGCCGTTGGAGCTCAGGACAGCGGGGTGCTTCAGTCGAGAACTCTCGCCGAGCGACAAGCCTGTAGCGCTGCAGCTCACACGAGGGCATACCACTGGAGACAGAAACTGCATCTGTCACTTACAGTCTGAAATCCCTGTCCAGCTGAGGTCAGAAAGGGCAGGGCTTCCTCTGGAAGGACACATTTACTCTTCACACAGCATCAAGACTGGGGAGTAGACTGTTTGAACTGCTTGCTAGTCTCCAAAGTAGAGCAGAGAGCTTGCCTCGGCATACAGTGGCCTGCGTAGAGCAAGCCCTCCCAGGACCCGAGCTCCTTCAAGAAGCCACGGAGAAAGCAATCAAGGCCCGTCGGCCCACAGCAGCTGCTTATCCGGCCAACAGCTGTACCCACCCCCACCGTGTGCGCCCATCCAGCTTCAATGCTGGTCTCAGCCCAGACAAGACTGCAGTCCCGGCCAGTAGGTCTCAAAATGCACCGAGCACCTGTTGACTCAGAACTTCCGAAATACCTTAGACACTTGTTGATTTAGGCAACTGTATTTGGAGCTATTTGTCATCTAGCGGGAAGACCAAACATCAGGTAAAACAAGTTCTCAGGTTTTGAGCTACCCTCACTTTGTCCAGAGGACAAACTTTCAAATCCTGCGGGTCACAGGCAGGCTGCATGTTAGCTATAACTGGGCCTGCATGTTGCCGAGGTGGTGTCACTGTGCTTGGTCAGGGACCAAGGGAAAGGGGCTCCTGTGGAGTCACATTTGCAGTTATAGGGGGGAAGAGTGTGGCATTAGGACGTCCTTCCTTCCTAAGAAAGAACTGGGATTAGTTGTATTAAAGAAACACACCATTTCCTTACAAGCACTCCAGGTTATTTTCTCTGCAAAGGAACACATGCACATCTCACGTGCACTAAATGATCGTGAAGATGGTGTTGAGGAAGGGGAAGCATCTGCCTTGACTCACTGCGGATGCACACTGGCCACCAGCAGTCAGTCTCCTCAGGACGCCCCCTGTAGGGCAGCAGCTTGCCAGCTCCCTATCGCTGCGGCCCTTCACACAGTTTTTCAGGTCCTGACCCCCCCACACTACAAAATTACTTTGTTGCTACTTCATACCTGCAATTTTGCTGCTGTTCTTATAAATATCTGCTTGCAGGACATCTGATCTGTGACCCCAAAGGGGTCACACTCACAGGCTGAGGGGGCTGCTGTGAGGGAATGGGGTGAGGGCCGTAGTGGTCATGTAGCTTAGTGACACAGTGCTGTCCTAATACGTGTGAGGGCCTGATTCAGGCGCTAACACATGCTCAGAAGCGAACCCAGGAAGAGCCAGTTGTTTATTTGACCTGAAGCTAGCAGTGAAGCTGAAAAGATGGGGCAGACTGTGGTAAACTTGCTCCGGGACCAAGTTCTAGTCAGCCGTGAGAAGATTTTGAGCCATAAGGAAACGGAATTTTCCTAGCCTCTTCCAGGCACTAGACGCTTCCAACTCCCACCCATGCTTCGGGGGACCGGCCAACCCACGGTATTGGGGGGGTTCAGTTTCTTACTGTTTGTAATCCCCACAAGTGTGAGTGTGAAAACCTGTGTGCAATGAAAGTATCTGTTGGAGTTGGGCAATTAGTTTTCCTCGGAATGTAGACAACATTAAGATAAAATATCAATGTCATCTCCTCATAGAATCACGGCACGATATCTTTAATAAGGAGTTTGGAAACAGATATTGTTTAGCTGTAACCATATATATGTTATAACATATATGTAAAAATAAGCTATTGCTGTGTGCTGCACATGGCTCTTGAACGGTGGTCAGGCAATGAGTATATCATCACCTTTGTTACGGGAGCAGTTAACGTCAAGTATAGAAAACGCCATCTTGAGTTGTCGTAGCCTAGTTCAGTGGGTCTCAGTGATGGGTTTTACATTCACCTGGAACCTTTTTATTTTCCCCAATATGACATTTGTATTAATTATGTGGGAAAGTCATAGAACGCACCGGATCACACTTGCTTCCCAGTCCTGCCAGGTCCGCCCTCCCACATCTGTGCCCCGACAAAGGGAAGGAAAGGAAGCACCAAGTCCAGTCTGTGTGGCCCGTGAGTCACTGGAGCACGGTCAGTCTCGGCAGCCCTTGAAGAGGCCCAAGGCCTTGGGCACTGCACCCCTCCAGAAGCCCGCTGTGAAGAGAGGCACCGCAGCGTCCTCACTGCCGCTCCTAAGGACTCCCTCCAGCGGCTTCGTGTCTGGACCGTTGTTTTGGGGTGGAGTGGCAGAGGCCATCAGCGTCTCTCCTTCTCAGTCACTGGCACACACACCACCACCGCCACCCCCACCCCCCCGAGCAAAGAAGCTTCCCCGCCCATCCTGCCCGCAGCACCATAGTCACAGACATCAACAGGGTTTCTGGTGGTGGCAGCACAGATCCTGGAAGTCTTTTGACCAAATGAGCCATTCTTCATGCCAGAGCTTTTGTTGCTGCTCAGATTCAGGCTGGACATGTCCTGGGGCAGCGTGGGGTGGGGCAGGGTTGGGGCAGAGGCGGCAGGACCGGAGGGAGCTCCATCCCTCACACTGTACTCCACACCACCCTGCCGGCCACCCTGCCGCGCCCCAGGCGCCTGCCCAGGGCCCTGACTACCAACAGCACACTTTGTCCACCGAGGCTCCCCTGAACCTTTAACATCACCCAGAACCTTTGTGAACCTCAGCGCTGGGCTGGAGAGATGGCTCGCGGGTTACACACACTGGCTGCTCTTCCAGATAGCCCCAGGTTCAGTTCCCAGCACCACATGCAGTCACACCCGTAACCCCAACATCTGACACCCTCACACTGACACACATGCAGGCAAACATCAATGCAGTAAGTGAGTTAAAACCTCAAAAAAACCTCAGTGCCTGGACCCATTGATCAAACCGTCAATGAGAAGCAGACATCAAGACTTTATTATGACTCCCTCGGTGAGTCCTTCGTTTGTCTTTTTCTCTTAGTTCTGTTTCTTGTTGTGTTGTGTTGTGTTGTGTTGTACTGTGTTTCATTTGAGGCAGGGTCTCACAGTGTAGCCATGGCTGGCCTGTAATTTGCTATGTAGACCAGACTGGCCTTGAACTCCAGATCTGCCTGCCTCTGACTCCCAAGTGCTGAGATTTCAGGCGTGAGCCACCACACTGCCTCTAGCTAATTCTTGCAAGAGACCAAGGCAATAACCACTGGGATCATTTATTTTTTATTTGATTTCGTGATGGTCCTTTGATGACATCTGTAACAATGGGTTTAATGAGATTTCTGCAGTTTGTGTGCAGTGGGTTTTGTTCATTTGTTATTTTTAGGCCAGGTCTTAGCATATAGATAGCTTGGCTTCAAGTTTTCCATTCTCCAGCAATGACCTCCCATGCCAAGGTAACAGGCATGTGCCACGGCTCTGGCTTTATGAGGACCTGCTGTTAGGGTATCGGTTTATCAAGCTGAATTCCTGTTCTGTTGTCCAGGCAGGTCTTGAACCCCTGGCTTAAGCAATCCCCTTGCATCAACCCCCTGAGTGGGGACAAGAAGCAGGAGCCCCTCGCTGCTCCTGGCTAAGTCTATTGTCACTTAAAATCAGCCTATATGAAGGTGATAATCAGCCTATATGAAGGCTAATAGGTGAGCACCACCTATTAAGACTCCTGGAAATAGCACGGTGTTGCTAACTCTGGACAACCTGACAGTCTTCCTAAAGACATTAGCTCTCTAAATGAGGAGGAAAATACAAGAGCTCTAAGTAAGGAAAGGGAAATACATTCATTAGATGTCATACTAATGACAACACCAGCCTGGTATAAAACTTTTAAATACTTGATTTCTAAAGCAAATGTAGATAGTGAACTAGAAATTATAATTTACATTATAATTATAATTTCCAGAGTATAATTGAGATAAACGGAACTGCAGTAGAAGTGGTTGGGGAAATTGTTGTACGCTGTACAGTAAAACTAGAAGGGCTTTGCTGCTCTGTACGTTAGACTTTCTTTAATGGAGGTTGTCAGTAGAACTTTGTGTTTATGCTTTATAAAACGAATTTTGCTGATGTCATTTCACTTAGGTGAGAAAACACTAATACAGAAAGTAACACTTAGAAGTACTGAAGAGCCATTTCTAGTTACAGGAGTCAAAACGATAAAGCCTGAAAGAAAGAAAATTGTGTGAACTGAGGTCCTGGAAAAGGAGGTGAGAGGAGCTGCAGTAGAACTGAGTCATGAGCTACCCCAAACAGTAACACACTCATTTCATTCTGTGTCCCCGTTACAGGGGACGAGAATCAAGAAAAGGTCTTCCTTTTCTGGTTTCCAGTTCTTCCATGGCCGTTGTTAGCCAAGGCTAGCAGGTGGGCAGAGCAAGCCCACACGTGTGGGTGATTGTGCACGTGACATGATGTGTGGGTGGACACGACTGCCCGTCACGTCAGATGGACGGAAGACAGCTATATGGGGCCTGCTCTTCCCAGCCACCATGGGGTTCAGGCAATTCAGCTCATCAGACTTTGCAGTGAGTGCCCCCAGCTGGCCCCAAGCAAAAAGACTTTATTGTTCTTTAAGTTCCCAGATATAAGCCTGGTGTGGTGGTGCACTGGGGGAGGATCTCTGTGAGTTCGAGGCCACCCTGGACTACATAGTGAGTTCCAGGACAGCCGACTTCGGA